ATCCAGTGCATGCTCAAGGCCTGCTGTCTCAGTTCAGTGAAACTGCCGCAGTTCCACAGTGTTTGGGCCTTCTATGCCCAGCGGTGCTAGGGAAAAAGAATTTACTCACAATCAGATGGCTCTCTGAAATGACAATATTTACTTAAGTTATTAATTTACTAATTTATAAGGCACCTGGCATCTTTGAAAGTTCATGGGATAAATAAATGTTAAATTGTTGGACCAAATTATTTACCGTACCCAGGTTCTGCTGGGAATGACAGATGGAGGACTGTCCAAAGAGTCAGTTATAGCTCTCTGATTCTCTACCCCAAGTGGGACTGTGTGTGGTTTCTACTTCCTGTGTGCTGCTTTCCTCCCTCATGCACTAGTCAGCAGAACTGGGAAAACCCACTGGACACTTCACAGTCCTGCAGAGCACCACTCATTGAATGACTGATCTGTCAGGTGTTTCTGACCCAGAAAAGATTCTCTCTCTTCACCTTCCTTGAGAAGAGGCTGGTGACTTTGGATCATTACAATATCTTGAATCCTATCCAATGAAGGTTTAAGTACAAAACTTTGTAAGACATCTTGCAGAAGACTCAAGACTGTTGTTAATATATGCATATATGTATTTCTCTTTCAGTATTGACCCGACCAAGGCCACACAGTGATGACTATAGTACCATGAAAAAAATTCCTCCCAGAAAACCAAAAAGAAGTCCCAACACAAAGCTCAGTGGTTCTTACGAAGAGATATCTGGCCAAAAGCCTGGTGATGTGAAACATTCAATTGTAGTCTCTCAAGCAGGTGGTCATGACACTATGACCATACAAAGAGCAGCTTCTGCTGACGGGCCACATCATAGCACATTGAGTTTGTGCATGTCACAGGAAGAGGAGGAAACTGAGCCAGTGTATATTGAAATGGTAGGGAATATTTTCACAAATACTTCTGAAAGCCCAGACCCAGGAGAATCTGTTTATGAAGAGATGAAATATTTTTTACCAGAAGAAGGCAGCAGTGGTATTGGGATGGTTCCTTCAGCGACTGGATCTCCTCCACTGTTGTTTGATAGCAAAAAAATTATACCAGTTGAAGAACTTGATGTAAATAATCAAGCAGCCTTGGGCTATAAAGACTCTTGTGACATTCCAGCCCCTTTTCCAAACTTGCTTCCTCATAGGCCCCCACTTCTTGTGTTTCCTCCAACCCCTGTAACATGCTCACCTGCTTCTGATGAATCACCCCTAACACCACTAGAAGTAAAAAAGCTTCCTGTCCTGGAAACCAATCTTAAATATCCTGTTCAGTCAGAGGGTTCAAGTCCTCTATCCCCACAGTATTCCAAAAACCAGAAAGGGGAGAATGAAAAACCTTCATCCCCAGGTTTGGCTGTATTTAATGTTTCAAGCAAAGTATCTCCTCCTTCATCTCCTCCTCCTCCACCTCCTCCTCCTCTTCCTCCCCCGCCACCTCCTATGCCCCCTACTATTCCCTATCGACCTTCCTCACATTTCACTTTCCCCCCAGAGACTTGTGCTGCTTTTCTGGTTAATACAGGGAAAACAGGAACAAACTCAGAGCCATCAAAAGTACCTCAGAGACCAAATCCTGTACAAGTTGGAGGTTCATCTTCCCAATTCTCCAAGCTGCCTTACTCCCCAGTAAAGGTGGCAAGAGTTGAGCACAGGAAATCAAACTCCAACTCATCATCTCCACTGCCATACAGCCCTACAAACTCAAGACCCTTGACCAGTCCCCTTGATGAGTTAACTAGCTTGTTCAACTCAGGGCGGAGCATGCTTCGAAAGTCTGCAGCAGGAAGAAAGATTAGGGAGCCTGAAGGTAAGCTTAATGGGAATGCTTCACCTTACTATGTATTCTATCTGCACAGACTTAATGGACAATATCTGTACCTCAATATTTGTGCTAATTCTCTTGGTTGTGATATTAGATGGAAGTGAGTCTAGAAAGCACTGGTAAGTAAATATTTTCATCTCTTCTATCACACTGTCAGCACTTTACCTTGACCAACTATGCCAGCCTCCAGCATCCACTTCTCCCACAAATGTCCTCATGCTTTTTTCCACGCTGACCCATGGAATACACTTCCTTTGTTCCTTCAGCTCCCTCTCCAAGTCCCACTCTGTCATGAACTCCGCTAACTAATGATAGCTAAAGTAGATTAGATAATTACTTTTGCCTTGGGTCACTATGAAATATCTGATGCTTTTTAAATTAATTTAGTACCAAAAAAAATGTGGAAAATCAATATTTTTACATTAACATTGTAAAGATTTTTGTGTTTCCCATTCTTCCATCTTTCATGTGACTTTTATCCTTTTAAGCTATTTGTGGCACAGGTATTGTCTACATTTGTATTTGTACAGCTCCTAACATAGTGGGGTCTGAGTCCTGCTGGAGACTCTGGAAAGTATGGCAATATAGGTTTTTCATAATAATAAATAGATTATTTTAAGATATTTATAGAGTTAAATTATAATAATACTTATGTTCTAAACCAAAGACCACAAACAGATCTGCACATATCCCATTACATTTCTGGGGTAACACTATGTTCTTTACAATTTGTTGGTTGGCTGCCAAATTGAAATGCGTTTGTGTTTGGTGTGTAAGAGAGAGAGAGAAAAAGAAAATATTCACTGCACTGTTCTTCAGATACACTACTGGCAGAAGACTCTCCATGTTTTTCACTTTCACAACTTTTTGCAAACAATGCCTATCTTAAAGCAAAATAATGCCAAAATAAAATGTTATATCCATCTCTTCAACCACCTTAAAAGAAACTATTCATAGCTCAGGTTCAATGAAATGTAAAAAAATCCCAAGTTGTGATGCATGGTAGTTTGCTGATTCCTTATGGGCAGTTTAAAAATATTATTCTGGGTCAGGTGCCTATTTTGTAACACTTGTTAGTTATGTTGCATCCTCAATAAACATATATAAATATGGAAAATTACCCAGAGATCACAAAGGGAAGATAGGGTTTTGTAATGCTTACTTTGCTATTGCTCCAGTGTAACAGAGAAACTGGCCTACAAAATAAAATAATCTGTGTCAGAAGCAGATAAATTAGAAACAAATGGCCTGTTTTATTTATTTGTTTCTAATTTATCTGCTTCTGACACAGATTATTTTATCTTGTAGTTGTGAAAAATGCAGGGATAAAATAGAGAAAATATATGATCAGATTATACAATTCCTCAAGTTTTCTCTAAAATGTCAATTTTCCTTCTTCCAGTCAGTTCTTACACTACAGATTTAAATGTTTTTTCTCACATTCTAATAATTTTAATAAAATGACTAGATAGTACATCATATAAAGATGAGTTTACAATGTCAATTCAATGTCAGTATCTTGACTGCAAAATTGTATTTTGTATATTTCAGCAGGTCAGCTTTGAGAACATTTAGTTTGTAGACTACAGTTCAGATTTTCATTATTACATTTTCATGAAGACAAGAGTCTGTATAATGCAACCATGTTTCTCCTTTTAGAAGCATTTAACTCCCCAATTTAATACAAGAGGGGTTGCAATAATTTACACACACACACACACACAAACACACACACACACACACACACACAAATTGATATCCAGGCTTTCAGATGGCAGAGCAAAACCCCTTATACCTGATGCAATTGAGCCACAAGCTTGCCAATTTACATACATATTTTTGATACCATAGTATTTTACAGATCCTAATTTTATCATTCACCTTGTTCAAAGAGGAAATGGCTTCGGATTTTTGGTTAGTTTATTGTTATTGTACAGAAGCTCCCAGACTGGTATATGTGCAAATTATGACTTCTTAGAGTTCATCTTAATATCAGCAGTTACTTTAGATATATTAATAATGCAATTGACTAACCTTTTAATGTATCTGGTCAGCTGATTTCATGTTATTTTTAATTTAATAACAACCACATACAGAAAAAGTTATGCCGTACATTATATACAGCAGCTTCTTTTCATGTAAAAGTAGTGTTCTAGCTGTCCATCTTGGACAGTCTTAGTCTGTGGGCAGTATCAACAGTTTGTTTAAAACCACAATCAATTAATTGGATTATTGACTCTATGATCCTCTTTCTCCATCTTTGAACACATATCTGACCCAGTAATTAGCTGTGTTTGTGTAAATATTCATGGCATAGTTAACTTTGATCTGATTTTCTATTTTCACACATAATGTAACTGTATGGTTGGCTTGATTATCTCCTCACTTACTATTTGTATACTGTATTTTCTATGGGCATAGTTCCACTGACTTCGATGGGATTACTCTTGATTTATGCAGATAAAACAGAATAGAATCAGACACAATTAGGAGATAGTGAGTAATTATACTTAGAAATTTTCATTATTTTTTAAAGTGGACAAACAGAGTTTTTATACACATTTAACAGAATAAATTGAAGTTATTTTGACTTTTTCATACATAGAGAACAAATTTAATTGGCTTCTCTCTCCATTATGTCTTTGACTCAGAAGCATTTGTTAGATTGAAGTGTGTTCTCAATGCAGTCTCTTTTAGTGCAGCACTAGAGGGCCACTTCAACAGGGACTACACATTCACTTTTCTAATACACACAAAAGGTTGTCTCAGGTTTTGATATTTTTACAAACTCATTTTTCATCCCCTGTTATCAGAAGATGAAGATCAGCTTAGGTATCCTGTGATTTGAGACTAGTGTAACAACTAAGTGTGCCTACCATCTAGCAGCTCTGAATTTACCTATCACTTGGAAAATATTGGACTCCTAAATATTTCATCAAGAAAGAACTAAGCATGAAAGATCAAAGTTCAAGGAAGACACGCCATAACATTTAAAATCAATATTTTATTAGATAAAAGCTGCTGTATAAATTTAAGTGCAGTTACATATGAATTGTTACATATAAATTGTTGATGAGACAAAGGATCTATTGTATCAAATAAACACAGACAAATATACACAGTGTCTTTTTACAGCTCACATTTTAGTTTTCTGCATATGTTCAGTTCATTTCTCTTGTTATAGCCATTATAAATATTACCTTTCATTTACCCTCTGGTGCATTTTAATAAGATAGCAACATAAGGAAGCAGTTATACAAAATATGAAGTTCTATATTGGAAAATGCATAAATTGTTGGCTTGTCTAGTATTTTTAGAATATCTTATTCTGTCTAGTTTTAGAGGGGCAGCTGTGTTAGTCTGTATTTGCAAAAACGAGGAGTCCTGTGGCACCTTAGAGACTAACAGATTTATTAGGGCATAAACTTTCATGAGAAAAACCCACTTCATGAGATGTGTTGGAGTGGAAGTTACAAAAACAGGGGCATATATCAGAGAAAAATTGCTTGTGTTAATGAAGCTAATCTAGTCAGGGTGGAAATGGATCATTCACAGCATTTGGTGTGGAGATGTGAATATCCAGAGAAATGTTAACCTGTTGACATCCTTATTCAGTCCTTAATTAATAGTGTTGAATTTTCAAAAGAACTCCAGTTCATCTGTCTCCATTTGTAATTGGGTTTTGAAAATCTTTTGTAAAAGGATGCTACTTTCAAATCCATCACTGGATGTCCAGGAAGGTTAACGTGTTCTCCTGTAGACTTATGTGTGTTTCCATTCCTGATGTCTGATTTCTGTCCATTTATCCTTTGGTATAGACTGTCTATAGTCTGGCCAATATACATAGCAGAGGGGCATTGCTGGCACTTGATGGCATATATCACATTAGTGGTTGTGCAGGTGGGTGAGTCCCTAATGGTGTGGCTTATGTATTTAGGGTGGGGTGGGTTATGTTTTGAATGTTGGGGGAAGAGAAAAGGTCCTTGGCAGCCGGGTGGGCTAGAGGGAAAGAAAAGTCCCTAGTGACCGGAGGTTGTCTGAGGGGAGAGAAAAGGCCCAAGTCAGATGGGACTCTTGCTGCTCTGAGCCCCTCCTCACCCCACAACCCTCAGTCTCACACACCCTTACTCCCAGCTTCCTTCACTGCCCCCACACACACATCCCCAAGGCCCTATCCTGACTCCTGCATCCCCCACAGTCCAAGCTCCCTGACATGAAGGACCCAGGCAGTAAGTCTTTTAATTATCAATAAATGTGGTAGGTCACTATCAAAGGTGTGTGTCTACTTTCCTGTCTATGTACAGACCAGCTCATATCTGAGCTACCCCCTTTGAAATCATAAGCAACACAATGACAATCAGGCATATATTCATAAAATGTTATGGGCATCTCCTATTGCCCTCTTTACCCCCTTCCTGAGTCCGGTACTTTCCAGGTAACCATACATGTGAATAGTGATGTAAATAGTGATGGTCAGGGAGCTGCTAATGGTCCCCTGATATTGCATGTATTTTGGCAGCCTAGTTCCAACTAGAGCTTAGCAAACAAATATGCTTTATGTGCTAGGCGAACTTTGGAAAACAGCAACTTGTCTCTTGTCTCTAAAGGAACGTTGTCCTGTCAGAGGAAGTTATTCTTTTGATAACTTGTAAATAATTCCCCACTATGAGCAGATTAAAGTAAGCTACTGTTGGTAGCTAACATAATTCTATGCTGGATTGCAAATTAAATTCCCACTGGGGTTTGAGAGATGAAATCCCAATCCTTTATCCTCTAAGCAATTCAGACTTTCCTCTTAAGCAATTTAATAAAGATAATATTCATATCTGCATCTCATTACTCCTACATTATAATATAAAAAATTTCCTTCTTTTGTAGCAATCCCTAAGAATTTACAAAATGTGAGCACTACAGAAAGCTATCTTGTCACCTATTATCATCTTTTACCCAAGAATACTGAGAAAATTATAATATGATACTTTGCA